CCTACTTCCGTAGTGATACTGCCTTGGAAACCCAAGGAGGGGTCGCTATGAGCCAGGTTTGACTCGACGGCACATAACAACAACAACAACAACAACAACAACAAGGCTATCAAAACTAAGAACAGAGAAAACACACTGCTGTTGAGTTGGATCCAATTCATAGCAACCCCTCCTTGGGTTTCTGAAGTGGTATCTTTACGGAAGTAGATTGCCCAGCCTTCCTTCTGAGGAGTGGCTGGTGGGTTTGAACCGCCAGCATTCTGGTTAGCAGTCATATGCCCTAGGCACTACACTACCAGAGCTCCTTACGAATACGGAGTAGAAGCTTAAGAATTACAGAGTAATACATTATAATTAACTTTCAGATCTCATGGCATATAGATTTTATGTTTCTCCCTCTGTTTTAAAGTATAAAGAAACATTATTCTTTGTGGGACATTACACCCACTAATAGGTGGGATTCTATTGTTTTCTGACACAAAACTACTTTCTAGTAAATAAGAATTGTCAAAACAGTATTTAAAATTATTACTTTTACATTTGTATTAAAATGTTGTGGTTTGTGCCAGTAATATTTTCCAGTTCTACTCATAGGAATAAGTAAAGGGAATTTTCTGATCCCTTTATACACATACAGATTAAAATTTATGTCATTCATTTCCAAATATCAGTGTTTTCGTTATGCCGTTTGTACCCAGATTTTTGAAAATCCAAATAATCTACATTAAAATTCCTATTTTGGGTTAGTAAATACTGCTTCAAACTTAATTTGTTTGCTTTATTTATTCAGTGTTTAACTTTAGATAAGTAAAAACTTACATAAGTTTTAAGATAACAGGTTTCTGAAGCATAAAGCAAATTGTTTCCTAAAGTCAAAATTTTAAATGGAAAGAATTCTTTTTAAAACTATAGTTATTGCTTCCAGCTTTCTGAATTACTTGAAATAGAAAGAAATTTAACTTCTCCCTGTTTTTGAATTGTGTACTAGATTTTTTTAAAATGGTAAGGCTTTTGCCAAGGTAAAAATGAGGTATTTGTGCATTTGCATATGTACTGATTTTTAGAAAGTGTATGCAACATTACAAAAATGTTAGTTACCACAGCTAAATTCCAGGAGTACTCATTTTAGAATATGGCTTCTAAAATGTGGACAATAAAGCTAGCCTATGAATTATTTTCATCCAATTGTCATCTTATGATCGTAATTCTTTCCATCTGGTTGAGATTAGATTCATTGTTACTCTTTTGACTTTAGATAATTAGAATAATTGGAATTAATCATTTTTGGGGGATACACACATATATTTGACAGAATTAGAAGAACAGACTAGAAGAGCTCTAGAGCTGGACCAGGAACGGAAACGAGCAAAAGAAGAAGCAGAACGGCTTGAAAAGGAGCGTCGAGCTGCTGAAGAGGCCAAGGCTGCTATAGAAAAACAGGCCGCTGACCAGATGAAGAACCAGGAACAGCTAGTAAGGAGCTTGTTGTAGAAAAAAAAAGAAAAATTTCAATGAAAGCATAGACTGAATCTTCTAAAACGAAGTATATAATAACTTCTGGAAAGCAAATCAAAGATACAAGTAACTTAATGACGAAGTATTGGAAAGCAACTTAAATTTATTTTTTTCTGCCTATATCAATTGTAATTTATTTATAAATGGAGGCTTTTGTCAACAAAATATTCTGATTAAGTATTTGGATAGGTTCTTCAATAAGATAATGGGTATGTTTTGCTTTAGATAAATTAGTACAATAAATTCTAGCTCCTATGAGATAACTGTAGGCCATAAGTGGTTGGGTTTTTTTCTTTGAATAGTGGAATTTCATGCAACAAGCAGTAGGTGTGACCCTTAGATAATCCAGGATTTAAATGTTGCTTCAGAGCTCTGGTGGCATAGTGCCTAGAGCATTTGACTGCTAACCAGAAGGCTGGCAGTTCAAACCCACCAGCCTCTCTTCAGAAGGAAGACTGAGCGATCTATTTCCATAGAGATACTGCCTTAGAAACCTGAGGAGGGGTTGCTATGAGTCGAATCAACTTTATGACAATGAGTTTGGTTTTCATCTTTTGAGTTTATGTATCTTTAGGTCTTTCTGAGCCTTCATTCCCTCCTTTGAAGCAGGGCTTCACACTGGTTCAGTCATGACTGATGAAACAAAACTGGAACAGACTTTTTAAAATTTGTGTAATCCAGAACACTAACCAAAACAGGAAGAATTATAGGTGAAAGCCCTGGACTGGAAGACTCGGAGGAGGTGTGAATGAACTGGATTTTTGCCAGGGTCGGAGAGCAGCACACATTGAGAGTGGCACATTTGGCTGCAATCTTTGAGCTGGACACTGCTGTTTCAGTCTCTGCAGATCAAGAGATTGAGTTGCTATGCAGCATTCAGGCTTCTCTTGTCTTCTGAGAGGGAGATTAATTTTCTAGCAGGGCTTCAGCCCATAAGTTTTCCTGTTCCAGTTCACCCACATTTTAAGAATGTAAGTCTGTTTGTTGGCTATGACTGAACCCCGCTGAACCAGTTTGAAGTCCTGCTTTTAAGAAAGGAATAATGCTTGCTACATAATAGGATTGTTGGGGAATCACTTGGGGTTTTTTTTGACAATGTGCTTTTTAAATTGTAAAATACTGTCAAAACGCAAATTTTTGCTTTGGTAGTCTTTAGCAAATAGTGGATATTTGTTGATTAAAGTTAAAAAAAATTCTAAAAGACTCATTTCAAGTTCTGGCTACTGAATAGGATTAAGTACTTGTTTATGAAGTAATAAACTTTTTTTACTTTGTCTTTTTACTAGCACTTTTGAAGGGCCTGCTATAAATAAGATATGTAAGATCTTAAGGAAATAGTTGCCTTTTTTAAAAATGGAAGACTATTGAAAAATATCCTACAAAACAGCCCAAGCATTAAACATTAAGAGTTAGTTGATTTAACATGTTGCCGAGTTACTGAAAATTAAAAAGTTTTTATTGGTAATTGTTTATTTTAGGCAGCAGAACTTGCTGAATTCACTGCCAAGATTGCACTTCTAGAAGAAGCCAAGAAGAAAAAGGAAGAGGAAGCTACTGAGTGGCAACACAAAGTAATAATTTGCTCATTCACTAGTATTTACTGAATACCTCTTTTGTACACAACGATGTGCTGAATGTATAGAGATGAATCTTAAAATACGATCACAATATAAGTAGGAAACTGTGTATGAGCGTGTGTATTATAAATCTGTTGATATAAGCTAAGTACTTTGGGAACACAGAAGATATGAATAATTTCTTTGGGGTAAGGTAGAGTTGGGGAAACCCTTTCAAGTTTAATAATAAATTAAACAATAAATTAGGTTTAGGGAGGTCGGAAGGATCAGGAATGGCTAGAGACTAAAGGAGGTAGTCATTCCAGGCAGAGGGAATTGAATGAATATAGGAAGTATATATACTCAGTAAGTATTGAGGACAACCAATAAATGAAAGCTTAGAAAATTTGGGAAATGTGGCTGGAATGTTAGATGTTAGGAAATTGTGAAAGGTTTTAAATGCACTGTCTAAGGCAAAGGGGGTTAAATGAGGAGTATCTGTAGACATTGAGCTCTGAAGATTTTAAAGCATATTGTAACATAATCATGGAGGATTTATAAAAATAATTTAGAAAGCAGTGTCAAGGATGGATTGGGATAGTGGTTAGGATTACTTAAGAAATAAAAATCAAAAGTAAGGATATAGCAGGAGTCTCTGGGTATTATAAGCAGTTAATGTGCTCGGCTGCTAACCAAAAGGTTGGCGGTTCGAGTCCACCCAGTGGCACCTTGGAAGAAAGGCTAGCAATCTACTTCCGTAAAGATTACAGCCATTGAAAACCCCATGGAGGACAGTTCTATTCTGACACACTTGGGGTCACCATGAATCAAAGTCATCAACTCACTGTCAACTGGTAAAGGATATGGCAGTGAGAATGAAGAGAAGCAGTAAGTGTTGAGAGAAATTTTTTCACTCAAAAGACTAAAGTTGAATTAGAGGAATGCAGTGAAGATGATACTGAGATTTCTAATAGAAGTTTTTAAGTACAGACAGATTCCAACTTATAAATATCCAGTGTACGGACAACTCCTGCTTGCCCTTTAAACAGGGCTTTAGACTAATTCTGTCATGACCAGCAAAACAAAACAGGAACAGACTGGAATTTTTACCATTTGGATAATTTATCACTGTAACCAGAATGGGACAAATTGCAGGTCAAAGCCCTGGAATGGGAGACTTGGAAGAGGCATAGTGAGCCCTTTCAGGAGGTATGGAGCTCTGGTAGTGTAGTGCCTAAGGCACTTGACTGCTAACCAGGAGGCTGGCAGTTCAAACCCACCAGCCACTCCTCGGAAGAAAGGTTGGGCAATCTACTTCCGTATTGATACTGCCTCGGAAACCCAAGGAGGGGTCACTGTGAGTCGGTTCCAACCTGACGGCACATAACAACAGAGATGCATGAGATTGGATTATTGGCAGGACTGTAGGCAGCCATTCACATTTCAAGTGGTGTGAACAGCCATGAAGCCCTGCTTTACTGTTAATGTAAATTTGCAACAATAGAACCAACCCCTGCTTGCACCAAATTCTTCATTACAATCCCCTTCATTTGCTGCATGTGCAGCTTTTAAATCTTTGAAAAGGCTAAATAAGAACTCTATGCACCTGTTCTGACGGACCTATAAATTTTTAAAGACACGGTTAGGAATGTAACTTGATTGCCTGTAGATGAAACTGCCGTTGTCTGAAGGACACAAATGAAAAATCAGAATTTTTTTTGTAGGGGGTAAGCAATATAAAATAGAGTTTAATTAGAACATTTTTTGCTAATATGCATCATAGGTAGGATATCCATATAATTTATCATCTAAACCTGCACACTTCTGCAACTGGAAAGGTTGTTGGTAATTACACTAGTACATTATGTAAAACAAGACTTCTGCAGGCAATTCAGGACACTGGTAACTCAAATCTTTGGAGATGTTGGTTACTTTATTTTGTATCTTATCAGAAGACATTTAGTATCTAGTTAACTCACCATTAGTGAATTTCATTGGCTTAGAGAAATTGCAGTCTTGGTTTCTCCATTGTCTAGTTAAGTGTTTTTCCTCTTGTGGCTAAAAAATAATCTATTAGCTGTGGCATGCTTTGACATTATATGAATAGCCCTTTCCTACCGACATAACAATTTTAGCAACAATTGATAATCCTTGTCAGAACTAATAATTTTGTTAGCTAGATAATAGATACTCTTGTACAACAGAATGAAGTGCTGCCTGGGCTGACATCTTCATGTTTGAATCCTTTATTGGGACTACTTGGCCAGTCCAAACATCTCCCTCACTTTCACTGTCCCTCCACTTCACCAAGCATGATGTCCTCCTCCAACAGTTGTTCCCTTCTGATGTTGTGTCCAAAACAGAGTTGGACAGTGTTTTGTTGTAATCCAGTGGATAATTTTTGGAACTGTATTGCCAGGCCTGTCTTCCTAGGCTGTCTTAGTCTAGAAGCTGTGCTGCAGTCTCTCTGCCATGGGTGATTCTGCTGGTATTTGAAATACTAGTAGCATAACTTCCAATGTCACAACAACGTGCAAACTACCACGATACGATACAATAACCAGCAGGTGATGGAGTTATTAGGATTTGAAAAGTGTTTTTATAATTCTATCACACCTTCTGCTTGTTGGCATTATTCTATAAAAACTATAGTTTTCATTAATAGGGCCTGTTTTCATTACCCTGAAAAATAGTTTCTGTTTGAAGACGAGATAAAGACTTGGTTCATTCCTTTTAATTACCAGTATTCAGAGAAAGTTGTTCATAAACTTGTTTTTAATGTTCAGGCTTTTGCTGCCCAGGAAGACTTGGAAAAGACCAAAGAAGAGTTAAAAACTGTGATGTCTGCCCCCCCTCCACCTCCGCCACCACCAGTCATTCCTCCAACAGAAAATGAGCACGATGAACATGATGAGAATAATGCTGAGGCTAGTGCTGAATTATCAAATGAAGGAGTAATAAACCATAGAAGTGAGGAGGAACGTGTAACAGAAACACAGAAAAATGAGCGTGTTAAGAAACAACTCCAGGTACTTAAAATTTGCAGTTGTATGCACATTTAAATTATGGCCTGCATTTCTCCCATTTATTCAGTCAAATGTATTTCAAAGGAAGGTATGATGTTTGAAAGTCTTTAACACTAGATGGCCATGTGATTGGTTTGAGAGGACGTGACCTACAGTCATTTCACCCATCCTATGAACCCATTAACAAATGAGCCATTGTTTATTATCGTTTACCATTGAGTCAGCTATGACTCATGGCAACCACATGTGTTTCAGAGTAGAACTGTGTTCCATAGGGTTTTCAATGGCTGATTTTTTTGGAAGTAGATTCCTAAGCCTTTCTTCCAAATGTTTGTTAGCCTCTGTGTAATTAGGACTTAAATGAATTATTTAAGTATAGCTTGGTCCTTTTTAAAAGGTAGAAAGTAATCTAATGATATGCTTAAAGAAACAAAACAAAAGAATTTAGTTTTAAGCAGTAAATGTACATTGGAAAAGTGATAATTAATAGACTACCTTTAAGATACTACATAATCTGAATTATCTATCTGGATTTTTTAATGGTAAAAGGCCCCTTTACTAAATTATATAATTAGAACAAAGCAGGAAATTTTACTACTGTTAAAACTTTTTACCAGATAATTTATGAATTGGTGAAATCTTCAGATATTAATAAAGACAAGAAAATGAGTTGATAGTTGTAACAAATAAGACTTTTAGTGAAAGCCTTTGTAGTACAGATTTTAGATACTGGTTGCCACTGAGCTATGTTCCATAACATCTTCGATAGCTGAGGTTTTAGAAGTGGGTTGTCAGGACTTTGTTTGGAGGCACCTCTGGGTAGACTCGAACCACTCAACTTTCATTTAGCAGATGAGTGTTAATCGTTTCCCCATCTGGGGACTCCTGTAATGGCTACAGTAACCTTCTACAAGTCGCTTGAAGTGTTAGATGAGAAAGTTAAGCAAATTTTAAAAAGTATACATAGAGTTGACAACTGTAGAAATGAAAGACTGTGAGTTTTCCTTCCTAACTACTACCCCTACCATTACTAAAAGTAAAGCATAGTTTAAAGAAAAAAATCATGCAGTAGTGATTTTAATATATTAAAATGTCAAAGATTTAACATACATTGTTGTATCCTTAAGCAGGTTTTTTTAAGTTTTTAAAATCTAAGAAAAAAAATAATAGCCATACTTTTTGTTTTTCAAATATAGGCATTAAGTTCAGAATTGGCTCAAGCCAGAGATGAAACCAAGAAAACACAAAATGATGTTCTTCATGCTGAGAATGTTAAAGCAGGCCGTGATAAATACAAGACTCTGCGACAGATTCGACAAGGCAATACAAAGCAGCGTATTGATGAGTTTGAAGCAATGTGAGAGCTGTTATTTTGCATACACGTTCTTCATAAGCTGAACCACCAACAGAGAAAAGCAGGCCTTTGCAGATGTGATGGAATGCATCCCACCTTGCCAAAGCACTTATACCAGTTTGACTGTGGTGGCTAAGAGACAAATTTAAGGGGAGCTCTTCAACATTAAGGCAGTGTGATATCATGTGTGGTTTCTTTTTTTTAGGCCAGGAAATGGAGTTCAGTGTTCCATCACCACCTTTCACATTTTTCATTTTCCATTTTTTTTTCTGTTGAATATTAACACTAATTATCATGTCTGACAACTGTGTATGTGTGGTTTGAGCACTTTGAACATTTTTAAAGGATAATGGTAACTTAAATGTTTAGATAGAGTACTCTCTTTTCCCTTGCCCCTTCCACATTCTCTCTCACCCACATTTTCTCAGTGTGCCTTCTCATATCCTACCATGCCCATAGCCATATTTCTGCCATTATGCAGATCATTGGCGTTGTTTAAAATGAGAGGAGGTGGAAGGGTGGGCAGTCTTTGATCATTGTGTAGAAGGTGGCTATAAATCATAAAAAGGATAAAACGTTTTAGTAATGTAGTGTGCAGCTGGTGGTTAATTTTTTAAAAATTCCAATTATATTATCAGAAATTTGATATTTTCTTATTTTACTACCGTCATCTTTGACAGCTGGATCATTTGGTGTTTCATCTCCTGCCATCTTCTGATGGTTTTCTTTGGTGATTCATAAAAAGATGTAGACAGCAGGTAGTGGTTCCATAGGAAAATTGATTGATAAAACACTACCTGCAAATAAAAGTTGTCCCTGAAAGATTTGAATAGTACTGTTCTTTCATAGATTAATTCAGAAAAACAGATGCTTTAATAAAAAAAAAAAAGAACATTTGTTGGGAATTGATTTTAATCATTAAGAAAAACCTGGATCTTTCTGGAAGGGCAGCATATGAAAATAATAGTCCCAAGCTGGGGACAGTATATACTACTACCTCATCACTACTACACCTGCAATGACTGGTTCAAACACAATGGAGTGTGTAAGCTATATGTATTATAATACATAGTAATTCTTTCTAGTCAGGAAGGATTATTTTTGTTATTGCATTTTCCTTCAGAATATCTTTGAGTGCTAAATTTTTTAACTGCCTTTTTGTTGAGTTGAATTGTGGGACTCCTGTATGTATTGAAATTGTAAACTCTCACTGGTATACTGTCTTCCTGGAGGGGTGTTGTATGACTGAGGATGTGTGTGTGAGTGTGTGTGAGAGAGTGAGTAAGGATGAAAGTGATATCCTTCTGGCACGTGGAGAATGTCTGTACCTTTCATTTCTTAATAACAATTATTACATAATCATTTTAGCATATTTGGTTTCTAAATCATTGTGCTTATTTTGTTTTTAATATCCAAGAATACTTAAATTTGGTTTGTTAATCCTATCTTAGAATTCTTTAATTTTAGGTTATATTAGTTTCAATTATGTCTTACTGAAAGAATCTTTCCAGTTAACATTTTCTAATGTTTTCTTTATTTTAAAACATCTAGATTTGAAGATAAGGATAGCCTTGTTTTCTCTGTGTGGTTCAGCTACTTTCCATTTGGTATTATGCACTCAAATTACATTTATCTATTAAAATTGCCATTTTATTAAACATTTTTCATGCATAGTAGGTTCAAATTATGCCTGAAAATATTGTGCTTTTTTGATTTTACTTACTTTAAAAGGATTAATCTGGGCAGACATTATGAAAAGGAAAGGTTGCATTTAATATATTTTTTGAATTTGTAGGATAAATGATAACTGGTTAACCTTGAAGTGACTGTTGTACATTGGTTGCACACATGCTTCAAACTTTGGAAGGAAATGTTTTTACTTGGAGCCCATTAGAGAAATAGAGGTGAACCCTGTGATTCAAGCTTTGAAACTAAGTGTTCACTTTTTTCAAAGCCTTATAGTACTTGTCATTAAAAGTGAAAACCTAGGCTTCCATTGGAATTTTTATTAATTTTCTTCATTTTGAATTGCGTGTGCTACCATTGCTACATCAGTTTGATATCAGTGTTGAAAAACTACCAGTTACATTTGCTGTTTATAATCCATTTGTAGATTAGGATTAAAATGGATTTAATCCATTTTTAAAGCTGTGTGAATTTTTCTAAACAGAAACAACCATTTGTAATATGGGTTTTCATAGTGATTAAACCAATTATAACTTTTATCATTAGCAGTGAGAGCACATGTTCATATAGCAATGTAAAAATACATTCATGAATTATTGGTAAATTCCAATAGGTTTACCATTAGCATAATTTTGTGTTGTACAATTAAATTACATCTATAATTTTGGATAACATTCGTTGGTTAACAATAAAGTAACAAAAAGCTCATGCCTTCAAGGTCCACTGTTGTTATTTAACTGAATTTCTTACATATTTCCTGAAAATTATAATTTTTATTAGAACCATGAGTCTTCACATCTTAAAAATGAGGAGTGGATAGGAAAATTTTCAAAGTCTTTAAAGGCTTCCTTGTTTCCCAAAACTATACCTCGGTATGGAAATCCTAAAAATAAAACCAAACCCATTGCCATCAAGTCGAGTCCCTTCTGACTCATAGCCGCCCTTAGGACAGAGGAGAACTGCCTCATAGAGTTTCCGAGGCTGTAAATCTTTACTGAAGCAGATTGCTGTTGCTTTCTCCCAGGAAGCTCGTGGGGTTTGAACCACCAACCTTTTGGTTAGCAGCAGAATGCTTTAACTACTACGCCACCAGAGCTTAGTGATTACTACTGATTCTCTAGTGAATATAATTAATTAATTAGACTCTCTTGACAACAGAAAACAATTCAGGATTTCTAATCATTGTTTTTTATTGTACAATGCTTAGTGTCTTTTTCCTGAGGAAGATAAATTTCATCGTCATTGATTCATTTCACTATTAAAATACTAATATTCTTTAAAGACCCTTGTGTTAGGTGCATTTAGTTAAATGTGTATTTTTATTTGAAAGCAACATTACAGAGTAATTACCGTAAGTCTAGAAGTTAATTAACGTTTTAAAAATTTATTACTTTTTAACAACTAATAAACTTGCTTATTGATTTTAATATTTTTATTAAAATTAATAAACAAGTAATCTATTCTAATAGTTTAGAAGTCAGATATCTTCTCAGTTCATAGTAATATTTAACTGTCAGTTATTTCTTTTCTTAAGGTGAGGTAGCAATCTCTTCAGTCAGGAAAGAAAAGGCCATTTTATATGATCATTTTGTTTTCTCATCTAATTAGAGGGTTTTTTCCTTTAATAGCTAGGATTACCACTTTAGTTATCTAAGACTTTATTGGAAGTCACTTATGATTGTGTTTTAAAAAAGTAAATAATTCTCACCATTTTCTGTCCCAGTTTTAATAACCTTGGTGATTGGTGGTATTTTTAGAAATGAAGATGGTGAGATAAAAAAACACTTTTCAAATCCAAAACCATCCCATTCCATGTGTACAAGGTTAAAACCATCTTGTTAAAAGCTAAAGCCTGGAAGAAAAACATAAGGAATTTCTATCATTAGCATTAATTTAATGAACTGTTTAATAAACTAAAACTTGATTAATAAGAATAAAGAAAAACATGTGTCTTGTTCCACTGATAGGCAGGTTTCTCTCTTTTAGTTTATGGTAAATGAACAGAACTTCGGCATTCTCTTATTCTGTACTTTATTTCTTCATTCTTTTAAACTAGACAGTAATATCAAATATTCTAATGTAATCCACCATGACTATTCTAGTACAGTATTCTAGTACATTTCAAAAGCCTGGTAAAATCTGTAGATGTTCTGATAACTTAACAAAATATGAAGACAGCCTGATGCCTTTGCTCTGCACTGGTAGCTAGAAAAAGTTGACTCATACTATCAAACTGATATATCAAAACTGATCACATTTCATCCTTGGCTTTTCCAATGAACTAATCTTCATTCCTAAATACTCCCTTAGTGAATCTACTTCATACATCTCTTCTAATACCTTTATACCCATCTTTTAAGATTTTTAGAGCTTCCATTTTCCCCTCTGGAAAGATAGGACTCCCTGCTTTTTCTCTTCAATAACGTTGAGCCCTCTTCAACTCTGTGATATAAGAGTTTTCTGATTTGGGGCTATATATGCTGCTTTAGGAATTGAAGGATCTGTCATTTCCCACAGATTTTTAAGGTAAAGACCCAGGATTGAGAATAGCTCAAGACACACTCTTTATATTCAGGTTTTTGATTTGGTTCTGAAGTCCCTATCTACTAAATATTTCTAAGATCTTATTTCATGACAATACAGCCAATACATTTTTATTAAGTGCCTACTATATTCTAGGACTTAGAAGCAAGAATAGACTAACTGTGATCCTTTGCTTTATTCTATCATAACTATGGAAATAGTGCTTTAAGAAGGATTTGGTAATACTCATTTAGTTTAGCTCTTAGATCATTTGTGTTAATCTATTGTAGTATCAGCTTTTTTAAAAATAACAGTACCATATTAATGATTGATGCTATTGTATGCCCAGATTCCTCCGTGCTTGTATCTATCCAGTTGCTTCCATCCATACAATTTAATTTCTTAAATTTTTATTACCCTGTTCTAATTATTGTTCATTTTTATTTAACAGTCATTTTTGAAACTTGGGTTCACTTTAATATTTCTGCATGTCATTTAGTTTGCTCCTAAAAATCATGATGCTGTTTTTAGCATTTTATCCTTACTAATTGTGTACCACATGTCCATCTTCCTAGTGGTGATATGGGATAATTTCTGAGATTATGTATGTGGCTGTCATTCGATAAAATCCTTTTGGTAAAACTTACGATGATGATGATGATATGGGATTCTTCTTGCACTGTGTAATAGTATATGCCATGATATTGCTTTCAGTTTTTCAACTTAATAAGATGTTCTATCTTCTGTTTTGGACCTAGAAATGCATGGGTTAGACTCATAAGTTTCCTTTCTTCATTTTGTTTCAAGTCTAGCATTCCAATTCTATATGCTGCTGTTGTAGTTATAAAATTTTTGGCTTTTAAATTTCAGCTGTTGCTGAAAGAGTACAAGGAGGACTGATAGCAGGAAATTTAGTGACCGATGGGGAATAAGAACACTAAGTGTAGGTTTCTTAAGTGTGCTTGCTTGTTCTCTGTCACATTAATTAATTTCCATTTTAAGTACTGCTTAATATTTAAAAATGGCCTAAAAG